GATTCGCTTGAGTGGATGTCAGCAACATCTCCTTTCGCCCTTGTCACAAGCCAGTATAGGAGTGGACCCTGTTCGCTCGAGGCACACGAATTAAACAAATTTTTCGCTCAAAACTTTCGTTAAGAAAACCACTATCCTACTGGCGGGTTCTCGTCCTCGCCTGACATCGCGAATGGTTCAGCCACTAAGCGCTCTTGTGCAACGATCATCACAATAACCCTCAACGTGCCGGATAACCTGATCTTTGACTCCATTGCATAAGCGAGGGTGTCCCTAACTCCGCTTGTTGACTAGCTTCCCCTCCAGTTTCCCTTTCCACTTGCATGTATAGAAAACTCCGAGCATAGTTCTTTCCGCAGCCGTGTGAATGATGCTGACTCCAACATCTTCCTGCCTTCATGGAGCCCCAGACTCCGAGGTTTACGTCAAAGCGGTAAAGACCGCAGTGGCGAAAAGGTTAGCGCGAAGCTGGATGTTCCATTTCTTCTTCACTACTCCCTTGATGTTCTCAAGCGCTTCCCGAGCCGCAACTTCCCATCAGCTCAGCTCCACTGCTAGGTCGTTCTTCATTCTCCACCAAAATTCTTTTGGCTAGAGTATTTAGAGATCTTCTCTTCGTTTAGCGTTAGAAGAACATCAGCTACCGATCTGTTTCTTATCAGTGTCGTATACGTTAGATCAATTCCTCTACAGGCGTTATCGAATTCGGCCAGCTTACGTTCCTCCAGTGTGGTGTTCAGTGTTATTAGCACGATGTCGCCTACAATGCGTAAGTGATGTGAGTAGCGGCTCTTAACCTTGTTGAGAGCCGCTACTCACAGCCGCTCACCTAACCCGAATGATGCAGATGTTCTCGAGACCGGCACTGAAAAGTTTGGGCGAAATGGTACTGCCCTGTCGAACCCCTCCCTTCATCTTGACAACGACTTTTTCATAGAATGGCGAAATCAAATCTTATTGGTGAAGTTGTGGTAAAGCTCACGAATCATCATTATGTGTTGATTAGGAACACCTGGTTGCCCAGGGCTTCAACACCCTCTTCTATCTCAACAGCATCGGAGGCCTTCTTCGAATCGGTGGACATAAGACTTAACGGCACTTCGTACTCTCACTACTTCAGTGAATCTTGCGACGGTGCGAATGCGATCGATTATTGTATTGAACCATCCCCGAAACCCTTCTTGCTGTTCGTATAGCAGACGTTCGGTTCGAGCTCCCAAGCTTTCGTACGAATCGACATACAACTAGGTGCGTATTAACGAGAACTCCTACATCACGAGCGCCCATTCTGTCGTATCACCCAGAGGGCAGTTCTTCTGCGGTCTGCGGGAGACGCTTGCACATCTGGTCAGTACGACGACGTTGTGCTTGATCTTCCCAGCTTGCATCATCAGAACCTCGGAAGTGTTGGTGCATCGAAAGTATAGATCGTCATCTCAGTGCTCACTTTGGGAAGCCTGTCATGCCCTTTTAACCTCTCCCGAGCAATCCCACTCAATGTTCCTGCATTGGGGGACCTCTCAGGTTCAGAGGAATGATACAAACTATACACACTTATAATACTGTTTCTGCATATATTAGCCTGGCATGGAAATACTTCGACAAAACGAAAGTCATTTTAGGTTCAGTTCTACTTTCCAAATTAATCTTATATAAGTAACATACTCGCAGGAGGGATAAGAGGCCTTCTCTGACCTTTTGAGGAAAACACTGATGTTCTTTATCCAGAAGTCAGGAAACTGTGACTCAAAGAAATCGAGCACTGCCGTTTTCATACCATATTACCTCGCTCCGATCAGGGATTCCTCCACAGAACGAATACGTAGTAATTAACAAAGGGGCAACATTCCAAAAATACGGCTGTCAATCAGCCTGCCGGCGAATTTTTGTCGGTTGACTAGAGCGAAGTTTCGACATGCCTTGTCGCTCTATTAGTATTAGGTTGATGCATAATTATTGCGGATTTCTTCAACGAATTTTGGTTTACGAAAACGATAAAAATGTTGAACAAAAAATGTTCAAATAATTGCTCCGGTACATATCCACCATCTACGTCAAGCACTGCTTCCCATTTGCTATGCAGTAGGTTTTCAAATGCGAAAAAGTTCCGGTTCTTGGAGATGATCCACGCCTTGACATTGCCCATCATGCCATCCGCTTCGTCGTAGATTCTGCTGGCAAGCCAATTTTTCAACGAGAGGTTGAAGTGATAATCCATAGCAGTTTTTATTGGTGAATATGACGGATTCAGGAAAAGATCTCATTCTTTACTTGGCTTTGACTGGTTGTTACCGAAAAGTTAGCTGAGATCGCGAAATGACTCTGCCACCTTCCAACCTTTCTCGAAGTAGTAGAGCATAATTTGGCGAATATGAAGATGACTTTCTAGACGTAGTTCTGTTGAGGAAATCGAGAGGATCACTTTTATAGAAGATCTGAGTTCAATATTCGAACTCTATCGGGAGAAAGGAAGCTGTCGCCTTCAGAGAGAACTAACTCCACGATCAAAACCCCCTCTCTCCGTGGCGGTTTAGAAAGAGCCCCAAACAATTAGCTTTTTCTGGTCAAGCGACTCAAGCCAAGCAAGTGAATGAACACAAGCTTGAAACATAATGAAATTGGTTTTGAATCATTTCTTGAAGTTTCAAGATGTTCATAGCGTTTGCCAGATGACCTCGAAGGTTTCATCGACAGTCTCTTACCTAGCTAGTTTCAAACAAAAGGTGCAATCTCAAAAGAAGTAATTGCGAAATTGAGCATGCGAAAGATCGCTGATGCTTTCGTCTTCATGAAGGGCGACGAACACGAAAATGGCTCGCGACTGGACTTTGTTTGAGATGGACTAGAATTTGTCAACCCAGAATTCTATCCTTCTGGGTTCGTTAATTTGGTACGAGATCCGTCTGGGAGGGTAAAAACACTGACTTATGCATCTGTTAGTTAGAGCAAATTACTCTACAGCCATATACACTTTCGACCTACCATAACCATACTGGAAGGAATTCGAATGCAGTGGCTCATACAAAAAACCGCCGGGATTGATTAATGACAAAAACCAAAATGGAACTTCTACTAACGGGGAATTCACTCAGGGGTATGCAACAATTCTGAATAACCTGAACATCGGCACGGTTATATCGGCAATCCGAGTTACAACACATAATATTCCTTACAATGAGTACTGGGTTAAGGCGTACTTTGTACGGTCCTACCAACCATTTCTTGGGTGAGCTGAAATGATAAAGTAGTCCAGCAAACTTAAATAGTATAGAAGATATTAGACGGAACTGCCCACTACCCTGTGTACCTAATGATTCATCTACAGCTTGTTGATCCTCTCTAAACAAGCTATGTATTAACCACCGACAAAGGGCAAGCGTGTAAGCACAGATTATGAAAACAATTAGAAAAAGCTTTCATTCACTAACGAGAATTCTTTCTTGTTGAGATAACTCTTTAAGTAAGTGAACAACAACGTTTCTTCAGAAAATATTTACATTATGAACAGAACCTCGTAAAAGAGAGAGCGGAGCAGAACGCAATTCAGAGCTAGCTCATTACGTGTTACCATTTCGATCAAGAAGGCGATCCAGCAGAGTTGTGTAGAACCAAGAAAATTATTTATAGTATATTTAAAGTGGACGTTTTCTTATTTGAAGTTCAATTCCGCACAACTCTGCTTTCAGATACATAACAAAAGCATGAAAATGAAGAAGACAACTATCGAGCTTTACAACACTGCAAAAAATTGGTTTGAATGATTTTTTGATACGCAACTCTGTAATTTATAAAATGTGTAGATCATAGTGATTGCTTCCAGACCTTCCCCTGACGACGCTCGACAGCTGAAACCCAGCGTCTAATAAGCACGCATGCTGCAACTAATGCTGCACTTCATCGCTACTTGACTTGAGGCACTCCACAGAGCCTGTTCAAACTTGCTCTTTAGCCTATCAGTTGCTGTTTAGTGCACACTCTGTATATACTAAAGGCACAGTTCACGATAATTTTGGTTAATCCAGATTATGGATTAAAAATGGAAGACAGGATGGAAAATATTGCGATGGAGATGAAGGAACTGCGCGAATCGGCGTTACCAAAGTGAAAAAAGGCCTCGAAAAATGGTTAAAAAGAGAGTAGGACGAGAATGAATCCAGAAAGATGAAAAAGAAAGTGGCGTTTGGACGAGCTATACAATGTGTGTCATTGCGTACGTGTGTGTCCTAGTGCGAATAGCTGACTACGGTAGGCCAAAAATCATTCACTCATAAGCACAAGCTAACAAAGAAAAAACCTATCAGCTGATTGCGTGCTTAATGTGAGGGTCCTGGTGCGAATATTTCAATCTGTATCGCCTCGACACTCGTCTGACGTGACATCGATAGAGGGGCGGGAAGTTCGCGCGATCCGGTAACGGGGCTCCCACTGTGCCCTAGCTGTTGAAATTTAAGGCTCGACAGTGTCCTTGTGTTTACGCTTGGGGGCCACTGGAGTCCAAGGGGGAGAATCCAGAAACCATTTTTATCGTGAATTATGCCTTTAAATACAGCTATTTCTGCTGTGATTGCGAAGCAACATACCAGGCTTTCACTTCATCAAAAATCGTTAATCAAACACTCTGTGAAAGGCAAAGCTTTGCCTGGACGGACAACGTGACAACAACTGATCAACGAAAGAGCAAAGATGAAAAGACAAGTTGGAGCACCTCGAAGTGAGTTTAGGGCTGATACGACTCATCGATTGAGTGGGATCAGTTGGTCGCCAGTCGTCGGTCAAAGGAGAGCTTGAAGGCACCCTGGGAAAATGAGGATACAGAGAAGAGAACGCACCTATGAACAAACACCAATTATCTGCCAAACTTAAATTCGGCTTCAGCTTCGAAACAAACTTGGACCAGAAACCGGAACACTGAGGTGATTAGAAATAGAAGATAAGCGAGACTTTCTGGATTCTGAACTTATCCTTTCCTCAGTTTGTCATTAACTGAGTAGATTTTGCTTTCAATGCTTTCGTTGGATTTTATACGGTTCTATGGGCTTGACACGAAACTCTGCAATCGAATCCAATATCCAGTCCGCAACAAGCACCTTAAAAATGCTCAAATCGAAAATTCGCTACTGATATCAATCAGATATAAGAAGTTTGACTCACAGGGACACCATTCATGCTCGCTTCATATCGACGTGCGGCGTCCCATTCTGTTGAATTCGACATGAAGATGGTATATGCGATCTTGAAGCTGACAAGCTCCCATGGTTTGTCACAGCACGTGCCCCCACACAAAGTAATAAGCTCCTTGAGTTTCTGTAACGAACTTTGCTATAAATGGTGATGATAAACAGATAGAAAATGCAGTAGTACTATAATGTGAGGAGACATTCGGAGTAATTATGACAATCTGTTCACTGCTCACGACAAGACTCCACCAGCGTGAGGATGTTTCAGCAAAAAACAGGGGTATTTTGCAGAGGTTCTTGTAGGTGACTCCACATTTAGCATTGATTGAGCATTGAATGAGTTAGCTAAGATCAGCACGTCTTCAGATACCAGTCTCAGGGGATAGCTACCAATAAACGAGTTCTAGGTCACCTAGATCGGCCGCATGTTTCTTCTCCTAAAGTTCTGATATAGAACGCGGATGAGACTAACAAGGGAAGGATCCCAAGGCGAAGTGGCCATTTGAAATGAGACCTATAGTGCTAGACGTATTTTTTGATGCTGATTTCAAATCTGCATTCAAAATCTGCCAACGATTCTCTGAACGAAGTTATGGAGGTGGTCTCCGGAAAGCGCTTCACAGGAGAAAGCACAAAAGCCATGATCGCCGGAGCCAAGCAGTGGCGGCCTGGAGTGGAGGTAAGCGTGACACTTCATAGGCATGGGACCAAGGATCGAGTTTGGTGGGCGACGGCGTTTTTGCATCTTGCAGGACTTTTTCCTCCAGGTTGGAAAAATCTTTTTATGCTAGTTTTATCGCCTTCAGCGACTTTTTAGTTGCTGGATGCGAGTCAGTTTCTACTAAAAGATAGAGAAGAGAAACTGTCTATCAACTTGTGCTCCTTCCCTGTAAGGGCGCGTACAACATCACAGGATCCGATATACTCCTTGTTCTTTAGGACTTTGCCGGGTTTGCCACACGGCAACCCTTACCTTTTCTGAAAACTGACCGCAATTTGGGGGTTGCGGTCAGTTCGGATATATCGAGTATATCGGATCCTGTGATGTTGTACGCGCCCTTACAGGGAAGGAGCACAAGTTGATAGACAGTTTCTCTTCTCTATCTTTTAGTAGAAACTGACTCGCATCCAGCAACTAAAAAGTCGCTGAAGGCGATAAAACTAGCATAAAAAGATTTTTCCAACCTGGAGGAAAAAGTCCTGCAAGATGCAAAAACGCTGTCGCCCACCAAACTCGATCCTTGGTCCCATGCCTATGAAGTGTCACGCTTACCTCCACTCCAGGCCGCCACTGCTTGGCTCCGGCGACCATGGCTTTTGTGCTTTCTCCTGTTGAGCGCTCTCCGGAGACCACCTCCATAACTTCGTTCAGAGAATCGTTTGGCAAATTTTGAATGCAGATTTGAAATCAGCATCAAAAAATACGTCTAGCACTATAGGTCTCATTTCAAATGGCCACTTCGACTTGGGATCCTTCCCTTGTAAGTCCATTATATCGTAGAACTCGAGACCATTATATATGTTACATTATATCAAACACCGGCTAAGTCATTTGCTAGGATTGAGACACATTAAAGTCCCTGGGTAGTTCTGAGAATGAATTGATAATGTAGAGCCACAGGGATGGCGAGATATGGCAAAATACTTTCGCGAAGGATGGAACTCAAAAACGTACTTTGTAAAAAAGAGCGTTGATAAGCTATGGTTGAGAAGCCATTGGGAAGGCAAGAGCGAGGGGTCTATGTAGTGCAAAGGATTAAGAGCACGGTGCTAGAAAGCGGGTTCGGGTCCGGTTAGAGGCTAAGCGTTTTGCTCATCAATTGCCATACTTGACGAAAAACAACACTCAATTGACAAAAAACAAAACAGTGTGTCAAAACAAATGAACACATAGATATTTGAACGGATATTGATCATGTGACAAACACGCCCCGATTACGAAGAGCAGTCTTCCACGCAGCTTTCAAAAAAGTTCTATTGTTTTTTATTTCAAGAAAGGACAGGTGAAAATGCTTGATGTTCTTCCTCGGACAAGTTTTTTAGAGACGAAAAAACGCACCTCATGAGGTAGCATCTTGGAATGGGAGAATGTCTTTGGAAGGAAAAAGCCCATTTGACCGAACAGCGGCTGCGTAGTCTGTCTGGCACGGATCCATCCAGGTTCTTCGTCTGGGGTCTCGCACGCCAGTACATGTTGCGCCTTAAGATACCAAATAATTGAGTAAAACATGACTATACACATTCCTGAGCCGAAGAATTGTTGCGACCATACATAGACGAACTCTCAAAAAACTTTCGTCCAACTCGGAACGATATAGATGATCCTAACTGTTTCTGCTTGTGTAAGATATTTGATAGAGCACTAGCTGTTCACCTCTACGATCATCAATTATTAATTCAGCTATTCTGCAAGGTTTGTTGTCACAGAAGGCTTATTAATAACCTCATGTATAACTGAAACCTTGTAAAAATAACAACGACCACCAACAGATAAACACTTACGGTGGACAGTAATCGCTGCGCCTTTATCGATTCTTCCAACCACGAGCGATCAAGCAGTTCACATTTCCGAGCCACGGCAAAGACGTAGCGAAGAGATCGCCGTTGGCATAATCTCTGATCTGAGAATATTTCTTCTATAAATGCAGAGAAAAGATGCGGTCATGTACTGACTATATCGAGATATCAAATCGAAAATTATTCTAACTTCTCTGGAGTAAGTTCATTTAGAGTATCTCTGCCATAATGAGAACGACGTGGTTGTAGCGCCTTCAACACAACATATAATACGATCGCTTGAGGAAAGCGCCTAGGCTTTGTGTTTTGTACACAATTACAGCGAACTTCTAGCAACAACCGTGAGCTCGAACAAGCCCGATCGGTCAGCAGCCTTTTTGATGGATATGTCAGAACTTTTAAACGCCTTTTCTAGCAGAAATCAGCACCCATTTATCTTACACGACTTTCTTAAGGGTTTCAGCCCATTTCTCAGTTCAATTCATATCGTGGCTTATGACATGATGGGATGGTCGGACTCCCCTTTCAAGCCTTGAACGCAAAAATAGAAAGGTTAATGAAGTGAGAAAGAAGAGGAAGAAATATCACAAGAAATCAAAACATTAAAAAGAAACAAAGAACCCACTAGAATTCATCATAACGAGATGAGTAGAGGAACATGTAACATCCTCTTCGTATCGAACTTGTGGGAACATTTTGATAAAGTCACTTACTACCTTCTGGAACGTTCATAGACAAATTGACTTGATAAAAACCTTTGGAAAAAAGCGACTTCTTCGTTATTACGACTCACTTCATCTTCGAGGCAACTCAACCGCGAAACACTCACAACCAGCGCTTTTTGATCGAGCGTATCCATATTATTATCAGCAGAGGGGCAACCATTAGTTTCTAGAATACAAATTACAGAAAACAAAATCAATCAGCTATGCGTAAAACTTGGTTTTTCTATTCTTATAAGACGTGAAAACCTCACCACAGGGAATTGAATCGAAAGGAAACTGTATCGTGATGTCCCCAACTTCATCGCTGGCTTCATTAGAAGGAGAAGATTGTAGCACAACATCACTCGAAGACCTTGTACAAGAAGAGCTTGGACGTTCGTTTTCCTGAAGTAAGAGCCTTATCCGGTGTTATTGACATCTTCATAGAGAAACAAAGCCAAGGTTAAAGTTCAACAAAAAACGACGGTTAAACAGCGAAAAACAGCTTGAAGAAGAATAACTAGATGTTTGTGATTGAATTACAGTATTTGAGTTGTCTTTGTTCCCATTCAGATCAACAGCTGTGGCAGGGCCCGTCACAATTTCAGATTTCAATAGAGCAGGCGGTTGAGTGGCGTTCATTTCTTCGCCATCATCATCATCATCATCACTAGCGAAATCATCTAGAACCAAATTAGCATCATAAAACTGGGTACGGCTGCTTTGCATTTCTTGAATTACCTAGAGTGACAACTCCTGATGAGCACCCTACAGCTGCTTCCTCGACTGGTTCGATAGCTTGAGCTTGAGGTGTTGACGTGGTAGTGCTATGCGGTAACTTCAACACTTGACAAAGTGTAGGGATGTTCTGCAGATAGAAATATGAGGAAATAATATCAGTGGATTAAACAGCGAGAAATAGCACCTCTATCAACAAATCCTTAAGTTCCGGCAGAAGCACGAA